TTATAGAAGTAATCATCTAACTTCTTTGGCTTATTCCTACACAATTGAAGTTAGCTTCCTTTCAAGAGTTTTTTTTCATAGAGAAATTGCTCAATTATGGCTTTTTACATACACCGTAGCCTAAAAAGAGCTTTCACCTTGAAAACTGATGTACAGGTTCCGTAAAAAGGTAACACTTTTAAAAAAGTCGAGAATTGAAATGTTTGACCGAGACAAAGCTTTTGCGACAGCGGGAACTTCTAAGTCTTACGTCATCGTAGGAGTAGATGAGTCAGTACATAGTTAAATCACCGAAAATTGCCTTGTACTCGTAACTGCTGTCGTCTCCTCACAGCTTCATGGATTTGCCAAACTTCCGTAATCACCAACGATTGCAGCAGTAATTACGCAGCTTGCATAAAGAAGCACATTCCTCTGCTTTGATTCTCAAAGGGAATGGGCTCTTGTTCATTAGTTAGCTTTGAGGAGTGAATGCAATGTTTCACTGAAAGAAATTTAATGTCCTGGCTTTAATAAGGGATTTACGCGACATCTTCTTGTATTATGTCGAGCTCAATATCTAATTTCTAAAAGATTCTTTTGTTCAGTCGTTCGATTATCCTTTATAAATTTGTGCTGGAATTGCACATACAGAAAAAATGTCTTACATGCTCAAAAGACCAAAAATCTCAAACTACTGGGTGACAAGGCATGTCTAAACACATCTAAGCACGATGAGTGGGAAAGTGACTTCAGTTGATCCTCGGTGCGAACATTGTGAATTATCCTCGACCAAAGCGAGCAAGGGCAACGAGTCGTAAAAAATTTATTTGCATAAGTTAGAGAAGGATCCCACAAGGACTAAACTTAAATTTTCAGATGGTCGATGGCTAATGGGCATAACGATTTGCCAGCTGTTTACAACAGCGGATATTCTGCTTTGTACCTCATCTATATTGAATCTTTGCGCAATTGCGATTGACCGGTGAGATTTGAAAAAATGAGAGCTTCCAGTAAATTAATTTTACCTTTAATAGGTACTGTGCCATTCATGACCCTATAAATTATGCCCAAAGACGTACACCGCGCTTCGTCTGTTGTGTCATAATCACGGTGAGAAATTACCTTTCAAATTTTATAGAGCCAAAAAAATAGCTTCTGTTGAAATAATGATAACTCCTATCATTCATGCGACACAAAACTGCTTTTTCCATCTATAGCTCTCCATAATGAATTGAATTACAAAGAAAACCTTTCAAGCAACCTTAGCGCGAAGCATATAGTCAGAGATTCTTCGAATCTGACGCTAATTATCCTAACAGGCCAATTGTCGAGTGCCGAGAAAACAGAACTAGGCTAATCACCAATAGCCGACAACCTCAACCGAACTTGCTTCACCTCCATCCTTCCGAAATTTGCGCACAAAACTCTGAAAAACTTTATCAGTTATGCGCATTTAAATAACCGTTAATCATTAACGTCATTACGAAGGAAAGCGCGAAGCACTTTATATGAGTGAGGCGAAGGCGAAACAATGAGTTTGCGAAGCTAAATAAGTGCTCTTAGCGACAATCTACTGGGGATTCAAAAAACAGCAAAGCTAGAGGAGAATCGCGAACACATGGAAGAGGCATCGCTCTTTGAATCTTTCGAGCGACCAAAGAACAAGAAAACCCCTATCCAAGAAAAATGGTCTCCATTATATCTATATAAACTTTTCTGTTTCCTATGCTGCCGTGGTTGTAAGGGTTTTGAAACAGGAAGATCTGTAGTAGTTTTTCACATACATTTACGTAAAACAACGCAATCATCTCTTAGGGCATCAACCTAGCAAGTAGAAAGCATGTCGCTCATTCTCTTAAGGTAAAACCTAAATTATTTCATAGTGCATATAAACCCTAAAAATGAGCAAAAGACG